TGCCTCAATAAACTCCTAATTTGCTGCTTATTAATAGTTAGATAGATGTTAAGTTTAGGTATGGGGTGGATTAAGGGATCTAAAATATGCTCATGCTTTATAAGTACTAATAAACAGCCCATAGGCTAGTAATACGCATTCTAATAAGCAACTAGTTAATAGTGAGAATTGGTGTCTAAACTAAAGTGCTACTGGTAAAATTGATGGCTTATTTTTGAGTGCTATGGCACCGTGGTTGAAGATTATCCAGGATGACCTCTGAATTATCACCATTGTACCCTTGATCAACAGCAGAAATCATGTGTAAGACACTCAGGACAGAAAACTAATAGTTGAGTGGCTATTCACATTATCTGCAGTAGTACAAAGTTTGTCACGGGAAGGGAACAGATTGAAACAGTGAGCACCTACAAGTTCAGCGGCATCAGATATTTTTATTATCTGATTGCAGATAATTCTCTAATAAAGAGTTGTGATCCATAAACCAAACCAATCGCAATATCTCCCCCCCATCTGGCTCTGAAAGTAAAACTGCATGTAGATTGTTCCTCTCTGTAAGTGTTTCATTGGCTCTCTCTCTCAAGTTTAATTAGACTGAGTGTTCATTTGGCAGATCCGTGGTTAGAAACATACAGAGGGGAACAATGAGATGCAAAAGCACTATGTGCGGACACATCCTCTCCAGTCCACCCAGAACAATAACATACAGACATCAACATTTACATTTCAGTTTGAGCTCTAGCTTCGTCCAAGTTGTCCAAACACAACAAAATAATTTACATACATACTCTTAAAGATAGAGAGACAAAAGCAGCCTGGTCAGAAACCCCATGAAACCAAAATGTGAAACTCAAAACGTAAAAAAAAAGGTGTTTTAGTTAATATCTGTAGTTTTGGACTCATCTATATGCTAGTCCATCCATCAATTTTCCATTTACATGATCCAAAGTGACTTACATTGCATTCATGACACACATTTAGGGACAGATTTACTAACAGCTCACACCAGTGCCAACTACTTTCAGGATTTACTAAAGACACGCGGTGAAACAGCGATAAAAAGTCATGGACAGTTATTCTTGCATCTGACCTTATTGCACATGCATTTGTAGGAGTTTCCCATTCAGATGCAAAATTTAGGGAAGGATCATACAAGGTGATTTACTAAGGTTTGCACCATTTAGTGGTCGACCGATATTGTTTTTTTTTTTTACAGCAGATGCCGATATCTTGGAAGGCAGGGTGGCCGATGGCCGATATAAAGCCGATATAATTATATTTATTTTAATTAATGTTTAAGAAATTTGAAATAATTTGAAAATGGATTAAAAAGTAAATGTGTTAAATAAACATACTTATACTTTAGATGACAAAGTATTTTTCACAAATAAATAAATATTTAATAAAAATATAATAAAAAAGGAAGTAAACACTGTAACCAACAGGGCACGCAGTATTCTGGGAAGTTTGTGTGCATTGGAAATCATATTTTTTTTCAAATAAAGCCAAGGTAACACTCATTTGACATACAGCACACAGTGGAAAAGACATGAATATGGCAGTGGGCAAATACATAAAGCGCAGCATAATTTGAAATTACGAGTTTAAAGTTTGTCAATCGCGCGTCTCAGTGAAGCTGAACTCTCCTACTGTCCGCGTTCAGACCGTCACGCAGAGAACACGCGATCATGCAGGTCACATGCACACTTCACAAGATCTCACAACTGGATCCGACTAATTTTGCAAGCTTTGTGAAATTAAATGTTCATTAGTCATTCAAAAATTTGTCTAAATGATATAAATGCGTATTTGCTGAATGCTGGCGGCAAACAAGAAAGTATTATAATGTTTGTCTTTCTATTACTAATAATATACAAGAGGGAGTATGTGAGCCGCTGTCAGCACCTTCAAAATAAAAGTCCCACCTCAAACGCATCGGTTAAACAGGAAAACTTATCGCCCGATGCCGATATTTAAAAAATGCCAAATATCGGCCGATATATCGGCCTTGGCGATATATCGGTCGACCACTAGTGCCATTATTTAACATCCAGAAAACACATGTCTTAACTCATTGCTCTTGGTAGATTGCATCGGTCACTAATGGAAGTGATCTGTCTCTGTGTTGTTTAATTTGCTCGCTGTCAGTAAACCAGCTGCAGAACTTTCTATCCCTCTTCATGGGATTTAGTAAATCTGGCCCTAAATCAGTTCTTTTCCCCCTGCGAATCACACCCATAACTGTTTGAGCTACAGGAAGGCAGCTAGAAGGCTTTCTCCAAACCGCTGGTCCTATGTAGGCTCTTTCCTATGAATGGCCAGTATCTACAGTATATACTAGTGCACTTGCTAAAAGTTGACCAAATTTACTAAGGACCATAAAAAGGGTGGATATTGGTCATAAAATACTAAAGTATGACTGCTTTTGGTACCAAAAACAAATGTATGAAAAATAAATTGCATGAAAAATCTGATTATTCAGTACTAAACAAATGTTATGTATTTCATTTCTTCTGTAATGAAACTGATCCTTCTCTGCATTTCTCCTGCAGACAGCTTGCTTCCTAATCTTGTTGTCTAATAAACCTGGCATTGTGCATTGCGACTATTGACAAATTGCTTTTTCCCTCTTCTGTAAGTTGCTTTGGGTAAAAACGTCTGCTAAATATGTAAACGAAAAAAATCTAATGAAATATAGCTCTGTCCGAGGGGCTCAGAGGAAAACGAACATGTGTTTTAACGTGTGTGTGAGCAGACGATCTTCGCAAGTCCAGCAGAAGCAGGTGTCAGTCTGCACAGTGCTTCACATCATACAGGAACACATCACTAGTGTTTCTGATGGGCTGCCCTCAAAATAAACGCTCTTTTACGGCAGGAAACACTCTCCAGCACAGCGACACAACAGAGCTCCTTCATCTCCCTCTCTTCCTGCATCATCGTAATGAGATGTCATCCGTGATCAGCCGGAAGCTTTATTAGCAGTGTTCGGAGGGGATATAATCCACATTGCGAGCGTCAGTAATCCCTGCGCTTCCGTGGACTAGCTGTTAATTGGGAATACCTGCTACATGATCAGGGCTCAGCTCTGATTCCAGCCAGCAGACGAGACTGACAATCCACCTGGAGAGACGCTCCGCTGGATGACAAAATATTAATCACTTAAAATGATATGTGCATTGCTGACATTTGAAGTGTAAGCGCGTGTGCGTCTGCTGATTGTGCCGTCACTCGACCCCTAAACGCTTCGTGCTAAGTGCAGTACTCGGTGTGTAATAAGGGCTAATGATATATCAGACATGGTGCAGAGAGGAAGGCAGCTCTCCGTGTCACTTACAGTATTTACTGTTTGTGCTAATACTGCCCTCTCTGATCATTTATTGATCGCGCTGCTCTCCACTGCTGATGTGCTCAGAAAAACACTCACCGCTGCAGTCAATACTGCTCATTCCCTGAATATATTTCAATTCATAGCACGATTCAATGTGAAATGGCATCTGTAGTGCATATGGTTTAAAACAGTTGTAATATTGGCCCAGCCACAATTTTATTTTATACACACACTACTTTTTATTAACTTTGGGGTCTGTGTGATTTTTTAAAATTGTTTTAGGCAACATCTACTTGATAAAAATACAGAAAAAAAGTCATATGGCAAAACATTTGGTAGCACTTTAGTATAGCGACTAATTCTCACTTTTAATTAATTGCTTATTAGCATGCCTATTATTATCAGAGTTGTTTATTAGTATTTATAAAGCACATATTCTGCATGAGCATGTTCTACATCTCTAATCATACCCAATGCCTAAACTTAACAACTACCTTACTAACTATTAATAAGCAGCAAATTAGGAGTTTATTGAGGCAAAAGTCATTTTTAATAGTGAGAATTGGACCTTAAAATAAAGTGAGACCAAACATTTTTTTTCAATTTAAAATAGCTGTTTTCTGTGTGAATATCTGTTAAATTGTAATTGATTTCTGTGATCAAAGCAGCATTTTCAGCATCATTACTCCAGTCTTCAGTGTCACATGATCTTCAGAAATCAGTATAATATGCTGATTTGCTGCTCAACAAACATTTCTGATTATTATCAATGTTGAAAACTGTTGTGCTGCACAATATGTTTATGGAAACTGAGATGCATTTTATTTTTCAGAATTCTTTGATAAATAGAAAGTTCAAAAGAATAGCATTTATTTGAAATAAAAAAATTTGTAACATTATAAATGCCTTTACTGTACAACTTGATGAATATATTGATCCTTTTGTCCCGGTTTCATAAGGACAGTCCACTATAAGACGAACAAGAGTGTGAGTTTTAGGAAATTATAGCTGCTTTAAATAACAGGGACAGTCCTGCTGCTGAGTAACCTGAGGTTAAGTCTCTTACACAAGGACACAATGATGATAGTCTGTGGTTTAACCTTTATAGCAGTCTAGACTTTTAACTACTAGACCACACCATCCCAAACAATAACACACACAGACACACGCACACACACACACACTCTCTCTCACACACACACACACACACGCACACATTCTCTCTCTCGCACACACACACACACACACACACACACACAGTGACTCACCGCATGGGTAACTGAGCACCTGGATGTCATCAATGGCAATGAAACCTCTTCTGCCATTTGTCACCTCTGCCTCGAATATGACCTGCACAGAGAAACAGGAAACAGGATGTGTTTTAGATAAGCTGTCACTCACTCACACGCTCAATCAAATAAATGAATAAATGAGTTTAAGTGTAACCATGAGTTTCTGCATGAATGTCATTCATTTCTATTAAAGAACATCTCTATTATTACACCACACCTCTGCTACTCTCCTTGTAAAAAAGAAGAGTGCATCATTATATGGAATGTTTTTTTAACTACTTGATAATATAATGTTAATTAAATAAAAGTCCATTTAAGTGTACTTAAACGTAACTTTCATGACAGTGCACTTTGTATTAATGTCAATTTAAAAGTTGTACTTTAAAGTACATTTTAAATCATGTTTGAATGATATTTTGTTTTGCACATATTTTGATGTGTTGACTAACATACTAAAGCACATCTTTGTATCATTTTAACTGTAGTGTGTTATTTGATACAAAAAATGACTTACAAGTTTCAGTGGAAATGACATTAAAATATATATTAGTTTACCAGTTTAGACTCAAAGTTTAGACAATGCTTGTCAGTTCATTCAGTAGTAACCATCTTTCATAGACAACAGAATTATGAAAGTACATATGAAGATGTACTGAAGTCCTATTTTACCCTCATAATTTAATTCGATAAATTCAATAAATATAATTTGCAAGTAAAATTTAATTTAGTTACAAATAACATGCAAATAAACATCAGAAAATTGTAAGTATTTCTTTAAGTATATTATCTCCATAATAAGTATGCTAAAGTGCACTTAATTTTCACACGTGTAACCTGACTCTGTTACACACCTCTGATATTAAACCAGCCATCTGTGAACTGCTCCTGGGCTGTTACAGTGCTATTACACTACACTGTTCAACGACGCCAACAGTAGTTTTTGTGACGCTCACGAGGGTCACGTTCAAACATCAGCCGTGAAACACACGAGTCTTTGTGTCCGAGGCTCTGGTTCGCCTGCGGTCATTACAGCGTCAGAGATCGTCTCTGTTTATATACAACTGAGCGCCAAATCTCATTTTGTTAATCTCGAAAGACAAAACAGATTTTCACAAACAGTTGCTCATTTCTGGGAGAAAAAGCTTTTCAGGCGAACACCCACGCGAGGACAGAAAAGGCGTAATTGAAAATCCTGTGACTGGCGGGGTCAGGTTTCTATTATTGAACTCAAAGCACGACTGAATAGAGTTGAATTTGCTCTGTATTCTGCCTCGAAGTCAAGGTCAGGCTTTTGTACGGTGCTTTCCTTTAATGTCGTGCCCTGGCGTCAATATATATATATATACATATATATATATATATATATATATATAATTATTATTTTTAAAAAAATGTGTTAAATGTAAAGTATTATTATTTTAAAATCAAATTTGTTAAATTGATACAAAGTGATAAAAATGAAAGACTTTTAGAAGTCTCTATTTTGAAAAAGTGCTATTCTTTTGAACTTTTTAGTCACGATAGAATCCCCCAAAGAAGGATCAGAGGTTCCAAAAAAAAAAAAAAAAACTCAGCACAACTGTTTTCAATGTTGACAATAAATCAGCATATTATACTAATTTCTGAAGATCATGTGACACTGAAGACTGGAGGAATGATGCTGAAAATTCAGGGTACAATATATTTACATAGAAAACAGCTGTTTAAAATGATACCTCACAATATGAGTTTTTTCTATATATTTGATCAAATTATTGCAGACTTGATGAACAGAAGAGACTTCTTTAAATGCATAAAACAATCTTACTGATCCCACACTTTTGAATGGAACTATATTATATGCATTTCCATGATATTTTAATATTTTACAAATTTTACAGGCTTGAAAATCCATATTTTATTCCCCATTCCTTGATATGTCCATGTTTTCCACTGCCGTGGGACCCTGCAGTGTGTGAGTGTGTGTGTGTGTGTGTGTGTGTGTGTGTGTGTGTGTGTGTGTGAGAGAGAGAGAGAGTGTGTGTGTGTGTTTGTGTGTGTGTGTGTGTGTGTGTGTGTGTGTGAGTATGTGTGTGTGTGTGTGTGTGTGTGTTTTGGAGCGGCTATCACAGAAGACGACTCAAAAACCCAACAGTGTCTCAGCTGAGGAAGCGGCTTTGGCAAGAGAGAAAATTGCTGAAATGAAAAGAGGAGAAAATAACATAGGATGAAAAAATGAGGTGAGAAAAAAAAAGAAAGAGACAGAGGGAGATATTCTGGGACTGGCGTGACATCCTGCACCCCAGCAATTATCCCATCAGCCCCGGACAAAAGCTCTGAACTGGAGATGTGCATGGCTAGACACTTTCAAAACCGTCAGCGGGCCGCCTGAACCGCCAGTCTACTTAAAACACCCCGAATAATCAGGCTGCTTCTGAATAATGAGGCTGGTCAGAGTGTGAACAGCACGAGTCACGCTCAAATGTCCAAATCACTGTATGAAGCAGTCGACTCCACTAATCGACTAGTGGACTTTTGTGACTAGAGCGGCAACTAATGTCTCGTGTTAACAAACTCAGTGCTGTGAAGTCCTCTCAACACACTAACATGTTACTCTCATTTATTGTAAATGTAAGAGACTCTTTGCTCAAATATATATCATCTGCCAAGAAAAGCAATTGTCTGCACTATTGACTATGAGCAAATTGTTTAAAAACAACTGATGATCAGGGCACAGGGTTTCCTTTCAATCAAAAGGTGGCAGAAAAACTTCTTAAATGCAACGTGTGTGTGAATGTGTAGAAATTAGGGTTGTCCAAGTTAATGTGATAATAACACAATCTAAGTTAATGCAGATTCTATTTGAGCCAATAATCCAGTTTGCCCTGGACCAAACATGACATCGTCTCGTGGAAGTCTCTTCCACTTTAATACAAGTTACAGCACAAAATAAACATGAATGAACATCAGAAGGTGTTGAAAGATACAGTATAACTTACCAAAATAAATCATGTCTCATGTAATCACTCAATCAGCGCAGAAAGACATCAATAAAACAGCTTGTAAACAATATGTCACTTAACAGTGCATTTAGTTGGAAGATTTTTTTTTTCCTTAAGAAAACCGAACTATCGATATTGGTATCGACAGACAGCATTGTGAATAATAATCTGCGTCAGCTGGGAAATGCATTATAGGTTTATCCCCAACCCTTACAGAATTTCACATCCAACAATAAACAAGAAAAAATACTTGTGCATTAAACCTAGTCTGCGACCTCCATAAACACAAACACACATTTGTGTGTTGTTTTGTTTTACACCAATATTTTAGTCTAAAAAGCATTTATTTACGTAAAGCAAAAGGTATATTTTATGTCTTGCTAGTCACCATATATAGCTTTTTTTTCTTTTCCACAATTGTTGTTTACTTGTTCACGTTAACTGCAAATATTCCACATATTCTCTTAATTAATACAAGATCCAAAAACAGCATGATAAAGCACATCACTGCTGTCACTTCTTGACATGTCACGTTCACCATATATAGCTTTTTTTTCTTTTCCACAATTGTTGTTTACTTGTTCACGTTAACTGCAAATATTCCACATATTCTCTTAATTAATACAAGATCCAAAAACAGCATGATAAAGCACATCACTGCTGTCACGTCTTGACATGTCACGTCAAACACACACACACACACACACACACGTGAACTGCTCACTTACACGTGCAGACTGATGCACACGAGCATTAACAAACAGAATGCACAGATAAGACAGAAAACACAGCGGTGACATATTCAGATCATACCTGCACATTGAAACACACAGCAGGAGAAAGCCTGTGCTTTATTTGCTTCCTTTTCTGTCTCAATTTATTTGGAACAAGAATACGTGAAAAATCTGACATCGCCAAAAGTTATTAATCCTATAACCTTAAAGTGATAATGATGATCCATGTACTTCGACAGACATGCAGAAACTGATAAATGAAGCTACCAAAAACAGAAGTTAACTCAGTTATGTTTTGAGGTTAAATCTGCTTATATTTTATTTAGACCATTTTCAAGTTTTAAAGAGTTTAATCTCAAGTCTAAATTCAAATCTTTAAATATAACTTTAATTAAGATAATTTATTCTGGGTTCAGATTCATTTCAAATCTTGAAATACAACTTTTTTTTATCTCTTCAAATGTAATATTTATATTTTAAATATGAGATCTTGTAATATGTCGAGTTTATTCTCAACATATATTTTCAGCACTTCTATCTTCCTCCTCAGAAAACACAAGGTCTCATTGAGGCTCTCAAACATTTCTGGAAGGTAATCTTGACTGAGACCTATTTGTGTAAGTGTGTGTGTGTGTGTGTGTGTGTGTGTGTGTGTGCGCGCGTGTGTGCGTGCGTGTGTGCGTGTGTGTGTGTTTGCCCTGTTTCTGAGTTGATGGCAGATCGGTCTGGATGAGGAAGCCTGCAGCTTTGCTGTCAATCAGAACCTCATCGTACAAACACACACACACACACACACACACACACACACACACACGTGAACCGCTCACTTACACGTGCAGACTGATGCACACGAGCATTAACAAACAGAATGCACAGATAAGACAGAAAACACAGCGGTGACATATTCAGATCATACCTGCACATTGAAACACACAGCAGGAGAAAGCCTGTGCTTTATTTGCTTCCTTTTCTGTCTCAATTTATTTGGAACAAGAATACGTGAAAAATCTGACATCGCCAAAAGTTATTAATCCTATAACCTTAAAGTGATAATGATGATCCATGTACTTCGACAGACATGCAGAAACTGATAAATGAAGCTACCAAAAACAGAAGTTAACTCAGTTATGTTTTGAGGTTAAATCTGCTTATATTTTATTTAGACCATTTTCAAGTTTTAAAGAGTTTAATCTCAAGTCTAAATTCAAATCTTTAAATATAACTTTAATTAAGATAATTTATTCTGGGTTCAGATTCATTTCAAATCTTGAAATACAACTTTTTTTTATCTCTTCAAATGTAATATTTATATTTTAAATATGAGATCTTGTAATATGTCGAGT